CCACCCATCAACTGATTGAGCCACTAAAAAAACTGGGTGTCACTGATGTTTTCGATCCTTTGAAAGCAAACCTAGGTCATATTTCCTCCTCCGGTCCTCTGGTCGTATCTGAAGTTATACAAAAGGCAGTCATTGCCGTCGATGAGGAGGGAACGGAAGCGGCTGCCGCCACTTCTGTACGCGTGATGTACTGCATGGCAGCTCTTCCACCTAGAGATGAAGAAGTGGCCTTTACAGCTGACCGTCCGTTCATCTTTGCACTGGTCACACAGGACACCCCCAAACAAGTGCTCTTCATTGGCGTCGTCGAGGACCCGTCAAAGTGATCTTTTAATATTTTAATGTCGTGATTTTCTCTTTTTTTTGTTAAAAAACAAAACTTTTTAAGGAAAGATAGCTCGCAATAAACAGCATATTTTTCAATAACAGCCGCGAAATTCCTCTTCCAAGTGTGAGACTCAACAGCACACTGATGACTGTTGCAGCACAACTACGACTGAAGCTTCCACGCAACTGTAAGTTTTCTGGTCTACTCAATAGACTGTATAGTTTGAGTTTCACANGAAATTCCTCTTCCAAGTGTGAGACTCAACAGCACATTGATGACTGTTGCAGCGCAACTACGACTGAAGCTTCCACGCAACTGTACGTTCTCTGGTCTACTCAATAGACTGTATAGTTTGAGTTTCACACGTTCGCTGCTTTTGATGATGCGCAATACCGAATTGCTGAAACTGCATCAGGAACAGGAAAGCTGTCCGCTTTTCCGATGTGTAGCAGCACAGCTGACGTAAGTGGGTGCTAACATTGGCTGTTTAGCTACCGCGGAAAAGTGGACAGCATTCTTGTCCTTGAATCCAAGCATTTGTCAGTTGGTGTTGTTGTCAACCAGCGTCCCGTTTTATTATCCATCTCAATACGGTGACAACTGCAATTTCTTTAAGTTACTCATCACTTTTTACTCAACAAATCCAACATGGGAAACTCTGTGAACTCGGGTCAAATGCAGTCCACGCAATTTGCCCTCGACCTGATGCAACTGCTGCACGAAGATGGAAGTAATCTGGTGCTCTCGCCTTACTCGCTCGTATCTGCTCTTGTGATGCTCCTTTCTGGGACTGATGGAGAGAGCAGAGCCCAGATTGTCAAGTCCTTGTTTAACCAAAATGACAGCAAGGGTGATAATGCCGACAAATATGTAAAGTTGTTTGCGGCCAACAACAAGAATAATCTGCTGAAAAACAAAGACACGTTGAAAGTCGTCAATTTGCTGTATTCGCACAAAAAGTGTGTCGGTCAACACTATAATTATATGACTAATCCATCTTTATTTTCTTTTTTAGCTTTACACTTAAACCTGAATATGTGTCGATTCTCGCTAAAGAGCTAAATGCCACTGGAAAAGAATTAGATTTTCGTCAACAGGAAGCAAAAACACTTGACACCATTAACACTGATGTGTCCAAAGCCACTAATGGACTAATTGATAAACTTCTGGAGCAGACCAGCAATGAAACAGTTTTGATTCTGGTGAATGCCATTTATTTCAAAGGATTATGGAAAAAACCATTTTGCAAATACGAAACTTACGAAGAGGGATTATTTAATACATCATCAGGAGCTTGCATCAAAACACCGCTGATGTTCATGAGAAGGAGAATGCCTTACGTTTTTGACAACGAAACTGGCACTAAAGCTGTACAATTGAACTACCAGAAGGAAGGCAACATTTCCATGGTAATCATTTTGCCTGGAGAAGGTGTGCAAATAAAAAAATTCCTTGAAAACGAACTCACCTCAAGCAAACTGTATGACATTTTGAATCTTTTTTCTGTGCAGCCGAAAGTCAATCTAACCTTGCCTCGATTTAAACTGTCCGCCACCCATCAACTGATTGAGCCACTTAGCAAACTGGGCGTCACTGATGTCTTTGACTCTTCGAAAGCAAATCTAAGTCATATTTCATCTTCTGGTCCTCTTTTTGTCACTGAGGTAGTACAAAAGGCAGTCATTGCCGTCGATGAAGAGGGAACAGAAACGGCTGCTGCCACTGCTTTGTTAATAGAGTACAGCTTGGGAGCGCCTTCCAGAAAAGAAGAAGTCTATTTTACAGCTGACCGTCCCTTTATCTTTGCACTGGTCACACAGGACACCCCCAAACAAGTGCTCTTCATTGGCGTCGTCGAGGACCCGTAAAAGTGATCTATTATTCCTGTGATTTTCTTTTTTTAAACAAAGCTTTTAAAAAAGATAGTTTGCAAATTGCAATAAACAAAATATTGTATAACGTTTCTTTTAAATTCTGGCAGCTGCCCAATCATTAGAGGGCAAAAAACCTAAACCTGTTTACGATATCCTTAACAAATTGTATTAAGTATTTTTTTTTATAAAAAATCATATCCTTTTATGAAAAACGTAGTTCAAAGAAGTCATAAAAAGTGCATAGAATCCCCTCTAAAAACAACTGCAAAATTCCTCTTCCACTTGTAAGTTTTACACACGCCTGCCTCATTCGGTAATGCGCAATACCGTTGCAAAGCGGGATCGTTGAAACTGCATTGCAGTGGCCTTCTCCCACATTTCTCTTCTTTAAGAGCACCCAAGCATCTGTCAGTTGGTGTTGTCAGCCAGCGCCCCGTTTATTATCCCTCGGAATACGGTGAGAGCTGCAACTTTTTTTCGGTAAAAAGCGACAACTCATCGGTTTTCACTCAACAGATTTAACATGGGAAACTCTGTAAATTCTGGTCAACTGCAGTCCACCCAATTTGCCCTCGACCTTCTGCAACTGCTACACAAGGATGGAAACAATCTGGTGCTGTCGCCCTACTCGCTCGTATCTGCGCTGGTGATGCTCCTTCCCGGGACTGATGGAGAGAGCAGAGCCCAAATTGTCAAGTCCTTGTTTGATGCAGATGACAGCAAAGGTGAGAATGCTGACAAATATGTAAAGTTGCTTGCGGCCAACAACAAGGATAATCTGCTGAAAAACAAAGAAACGTTTAAGGTCGCCAATTTGCTGTATTTGCACAAAAAGTAAGTCGACAAATTGATAATTACGTGACTAATTTATCTTTATTTTTTAAAGTTTTACAATTAAACCCGAGTTTGTGTCACTTCTCACTAAGCTGAACGCCACTGGAAAAGAATTAGATTTTTCTGGTCAAAAAGCTAAAATACTTGACACCATCAACACTGACGTGTCCAAAGCCACTAATGGACTGATTGATAATCTTCTGGAGCAAATCAGCAATGAGACTGTTTTGATTCTAGTTAATGCCATTTACTTCAAAGGATTATGGAAAAAATCATTTTGCAAAGATGATACAATCGAAAAAGGAGAATTTCATACTTTTTCAGGAGTTGTCATCAAAACACCGTTGATGTTCATGCGAAAGAGATTGCCTTACTTTTTTGACAATGAAACTGGCACCAAAGCTGTACAGTTGAACTACCAAAAGGAAGGCAACATTGCTATGGTGCTGATTTTGCCCGAAATAGGTGTACCAGTGAGCAGATTCCTCAAAGGAGAACTCACCTCAGGCAAACTGCACCACATTCTAGACCATCTTGTTGTGCGGCTGAAAGTAAACCTAATCTTGCCTCGATTCAAACTATCCTCAACCCATCGACTGAATGGGCCACTTCGCAAACTGGGCGTCAATGATGTCTTTGATCCTTCAAGAGCAAACCTAAGTCATATTTCATCTTCCGGTCCCCTGGTCGTATCCAAAGTCATACAAAAAGCAGTCATTGCCGTCGATGAAGAGGGAACGGAAGCGGTTGCTGCCACTGGTGGAAGTATGATGGGCTGTTTAGCAGATTCTGGATCCATTGAAAAAGAGACTTTTAGAGCTAACCGTCCTTTCGTTTTTACACTGATCACAAAGGACCAACCCAAACAAGTGCTCTTCATTGGTGTTGTTGAAGACCCGTCAAAGTGATCTATTCTTTTTGTGATTTTTTATTAGAGACGAAATTTCTTATTAAAGAAAAACAGTTTTTTTTTCACGAAACAACATATTTTTAACGTTTCTTTTAATTCCTTGTTGACAGCGGCCCAATCATTGAAGGGCAAAAAGTCCAAAGTTATTTTAACGATATCCTTGTAGTGGCTGGGACGCCAGCCCCTACAAATGCTCTCTCTGCCCTGTTCCGTCACTGGCTGACCTTC